ACAGCTTGGAACAAGCAGAGCACAGGTATAAGGGAGGTTTCTCCAGGGTGTGTCTGCACCCATATCATAGGATGGGGTAACAGGCACAGAAACCCCAAGAAACCTGTTGCAGACTTCTTCCATCATCAGCTACAGCTGAGCCTACACTCTAAATGTTGTATATATACTGTGGACTCATTATATTTGTTCATAATATATATATGTTTATTTATATAGAATCATAGAATCATAGAATATCCCGAGTTGGAAGGGACCCATAAGGATCATCAAGTCGAACTGGCACCGCACAGTCTACCCAAAAGTTTAGACCATGTGACTAAGTGCACAGTCCAATCGCTTCTTAAATTCAGACAGGTTTGGTGCAGTGCCTACTTCACTGGGGAACCTGTTCCAGTGTGCGACCACCCTCTCGGTGAAGAACCTCTTCCTGATGTCCAGCTTAAACTTCCCCTGCCTCAGCTTAACACCATTCCTGCAGGTCCTATCACTGGTGATTAAGGAGAATAGGTCACCTGCCTTTCCACTCCACCTCACGAGGAAGTTGTAGACTGCGACGAGGTCCCCCCTCAGCCTCCTCTTCTCCAGGCTGAACAGGTCCAGTGTCCTCATCCATCTTCCCCTCTAGGCCCTTCACCATCTTCGTCACCCTCCTCTGGACACTCTCCAACAGTTTAATGTCCTTTTTGTACTGTGGTGCCCAGAACTGCACACAGTACTTGAGGTGAGGCCGCACCAGCGCAGAGTAGAGCGGGACAATCACCTCCCTCGACCGACTAGCAATGCTGTGCTTGATGCACCCCAGGATACAGTTAGCCCTCCTGGCTGCCAGGGCACACTGCTGGCTCATATTCAACTTGCTGTCAACCACAACCCCAGATCCCTCTCTGCATGGCTGCTCTCTAGCGTCTCGTCACCCAGTCTGTACGTATAGACAGGGTTGCACCGTCCCAGGTGCAGGACCCGACACTTGCTTTTGTTAAACTTCATGTGGTTGGTGATCACCCAGCTCTCCAATCTGTCCAGGTCTCTCTGCAAGGCCTTTCCACCCTCATCCAAGTCCACAACTCCTCCAAGTTTGGTGTCGTTGGAAAATTTGTTCAAAACACCCTCTAGTCCTACATCGAAATCATTTATAAAAACATGGAAGAGGACTGGCCCTGAAATGGAGCCTTGAGGGACCCCACTAGTGACCATCCGCCAGCCAGATGTGGCCCCATTTACCAAAACCCTTTGAGCCCTTCCTGTCAGCCAATTGAATATATGAATATATATATATATATATATATTCTGCATATATGAATAGGAATCTTATTGGCTGACAATAATTTGGCTATTCTATAAAACCTGAAACTAAGTTCTTGTATTTTAAAAGGAGATATTAGTTATAACATATCATCTCACAAATAACTAATGGAAAGCCTAACAATTTCTGATACTCAGTTATAACTTGTCACGTTCGTAATATTCATTGAACCTATAAGGAGGTTCTGAATTCTAACCAGATTTTGCAAAACACAAATTAAGTTGCTCTTTGGCTACAGTTATAAAATACAGAAACTTGGAAGACTGCTTTCCTTTGAAAATTTTCTGTGGTTGTACTGAAAATTCAGTATCATATGATCATATGATTGTGAGTAATACTTTAAACAGACAATAACACTTACGGACCACATTGTAAAAGAATTGTGGCTAGCTAACTAAATACATTAAAAAGCTGGCTTTAAAGCACACTAGTATCCCTTTTTACTCTATCTGAGGGCAACAAAGTCAAGCAATCTGCCTAAACAGCCTTACATTCATTTCAGAACTTTTTTTTCCTCTGTAACAACTGTACCCATTTAGATCCCCATTAATGTTAAAAATTAGGTGAATCTTTTTTAATTTTTTTTTTTGAGCCATTTTCTCTGTAAATTAATTAATTATTTAAGGAACTCAATTAATGACAGTTTCAGCTCTGAAAAAATAAAATTTTGCATTACTATCTGATTTACTACAAAATCCACCTATAGGAGGTAATCAGAGGTGTCGTCCATCTAAGGATCTGGCCCAGAATCATCTTTTTCTTCTTAAAAAAAATAAAAAATTGTCAGGAGCAGTGCATAAGTACATACCTTTAATTCATTTATTTCTTCATCCATCTCAACAAACATTGGATTTTATCTTTTAGTGCACAAAAAAAAAAACTGCACAGAGATTTTTTATAGCACTTATTGATTCAGAAGGATTTGCTGTAATATTTAATGTTTGATTTGCTGGGGAAGATGTGTTTTTTCGCAGTCACCTGTTATTCATTTAGCTAGGTGCTTGTATGAGCTTTGCACTTTTTAAAATCCTTTTCAGGAGACTTAATTTTCACCTGCGTATATACTAGCTGACAGCTTCGTGTTCTTCACTGTACTGACAAATAAACCAAGAATGCCTGTACTCAATTCATTATAAACATTTCGTAAGCATCCCATAAAGATTACTTCTGAACACTATGGCTGAGGATAGATATGAGCTGCTTTTCCCTGTGATGAAAGGCCAGTGTCGGATCAAATGAGCCATCCAGGCCCTAAAATGGCTTTACAGAAATAGTTTTAATCTCTTCATTGTCCGACTTCACGGCATGGTAGTGCTGCCCTTAAATAAAACTTACATAAAAATGGTTAGTACAGCTCGTTAGAAAATGTGCTTGAAGTTTAGAATCACGTATCATTGTTTATACAGATGACTATTTGGAATAGACTTCAATAGAATCTGACTTTACTAGCAAAGGAGAAGGCTTTGGCAATAGCATACAGTGATCAGCAACAGCAACTCATATTTTCCAACTGAGATCAATGTGGCCTTTAATCCATTAATGCAGACCTAAATATCACCAGACAGATATGAATAGATGACAGTGAAAATATGAGAAAGAAAAGTCTGGAGACTTGTTTCATATTCCAATTCATTTTAGTACTCTACAGGAAAGCAGCCTGTTTCTACACTTTCAATTAGCATACCCTAGATATGAACGAAAATACTTCTTTTCTCCTAACATAGATGCTTTTTTGTTCACCCATTTTGAGCCTGTGTTCATAGAATTGGATTTCTACAAAAATCCTTGGGAGCATTTTAGCAATGCATCTTTTTGAAATGTCAAGGAATGGGTTTGTTTGGAATGGAAGGTTGCTGACAATCACTCCAAGTCATTCAGATGCCAATTTAGATATTTAAATACTAATGCCAGGCTGGGGGAAGGGAGGAGGAAAACCCCAAAACAACAAAAACACAACCCAAACTTAAAAAGCTCCCAGCTCTGTGCATATTAAATTAAACTAAAAATAAAGATGACGGCAGTATCTGCAAGCAATTTGGGTGGTCAGAAGAGAATGGTACCCTCTGGTTTGAAAACAGTGTTTAGTGTTTGCACTGTTCTTACTTGTCAAAATAAATTTGGACAGGGTTCCTATTTCCTGAATTTACTGAAGCTTTTCATTCTTTAAATTTCTAATGTGGTATGTCACATCTTACTGTATTTCATGGTGTCACATTGCATTATTTTGCATCACTGTCTCTGAAGTTGATGAAACACAACACAACAGTACATGACAAAAAGGAATAAGCTACTCGTTATACAAAATTTTGTAATTCAGTATTTGTTAGACGCTGTGGTCATTGCAGATAATCTTGAACTTTTAATATTTGTACCTTCTTGGTGAGCTAGTGAGAAACCTGTTCAAATTACTGGTTTATTGAAAAGCAAGCCCCCTCTCTTGGGAAACACAGGGTTGTCATTATTTACTTGGTATCAGAGTATGCTGCTGCTGCTTTTCAACCTCTGCATTGTTAATTTATAATGATTAGAATGAGATTTGAGACATACTAGGGTAGAGAATTTCTCAGAACGCAATAATGAGAGTATTCATTTGAGACAGCATTAAAGGCACAATATGACTGTTTTGATTTTAGAGCACAAATACAGCACATATCCTTGGGACTATTTCCATTCATTATGATTAAACCATGTCACTCAGTAGAAACAGAACTGAGTTCTCCTCCCTCCCCTCCGTCCTTATTGTTCTTGCTGATATCAATGCCATAAAACTGAAGATTTATAACCTAACAATTGTGGTCTGCTTAAGAAAAGAGAATATTTACACTTTGAGAAACACATCAACTTACTGTTACAAAATATTAGAATCTATAGTCCTCACCAAAATAAATAAATAAAATTCTACCCTTACTGCAAGTGTAATTCTTGTCTGAGAAGAAACAGACGAACATAAGAATTTAATAGCAATCATGATGGGTCATCATGACAATTGTTTGGTCTATGTGCTGTGAAAACTTTAAAACTGGAAAGTACTGGAGGAACTTCCAAAAATTTGTACAAATATACAGAATGGAAACAAAATGCCACAAATCAGAGTCTGTCTGTCTTTCAGTTAAATTGATTTACTTCTGAATGTGTTTTTTGAGTGGATGTGACTCAAGGTGTTTGTGTACTACCCAATTCTGATTTAAAATTTTTGCTGTGACACAACTAACTTGCTGTAAAGAAGTACAGCAGTTTTATTTCTTTTCATTCCATTGTTCTAGTCCATTGCAAGACATGGGCTATTGTTGCTGTTTTCCTCTGAGAATAGATAAACTAAATATATCATGCAGTATTTGTATTATATTAAGGAGGCTACGTTAGAAAATATATCCAATAGTACAAGCAAAAATGTGCCAGAAATTGTAATAACCCAAGCAAAGGACTATGAAGCAAGACTACCTGAAAAACAGAACTCAGAGCTGAGCAGGAGTCAAGTTCAAGCACGTGCCAGCACATGAATCCCATCACATAAACCCACCTAATAAATCGATCTGAGTCCTGTGTTTACTCCCACACTCCTGTACTTATGGCTCTGGTGTCTAGAAACCTCCTCTCCATTTCTTGTCCAAATTTATCTAGCCAATTTATGTTCATTTGATCCCATGTCAAAATTACCATTTAATTTCACAAGCTTTTCTTTCTCCCCAGGATTTACCTCATCATATATTTACAGACACCAATTGTATCTGCTCTCAACCTTTGCTTTGTCAGGCCCAGCTTCTTTTCAGATAGTTGTCCTTTTCTTTGATCACCACACTAGTCACCCTTTGTACCTGTTTCAAGAATAAATAAGTAAATAAATTAAAATTTGCACCACAGCCATAGGGATTCAGAATTTCAGATGATGTTTAACAAGCACCTTGGTTGACGGCATATATACTCTCCTTGCTTCATAAAAATAGTTTCCTCAATATATCTTTAAATTGCATTTTCCCTTTACGTAGTCTAAGTGCACTGGTAGTTCACAGTAATTCTGTGATTGACTGTTGCAACTAGGTAGTTTTCCTCTCTGTCACTTCGCACTGATGATCCTACAGTTCATAGCAGATACTTTTCATTAGTTCTGAAGTGCATGACCTTGCAGCACATGACTTTAAATTCCATCCCATTTCTATTACCCCAGACTTCAAGGTCATTTAATTCTTCCTGTATAACATTCCAATCCTCCACTGTATTCATGACATCTCCCAGTTTTGTATCATCAGCAAATTAATTAGTACACTCCTACTTTTTCTGCCTAGGTCATTAAGGAAAATATTAAATAAAATTAATCCCCAGACCAATCCTAAAGGAACTCCACTAGTAACTTTCCTCCAGAGAGAGAGACAAATCCTTTCAACATAACTTGCTCTTGTCTCCTTTTCAGTCATTTTACTTATATTTTAGTCCTGGTACTTGTCCTTATCTTTTCCAATTTAACTAATTATTCCCCATGTAGTAATGTATCTAACACTTTAATAAAGAACAGATAGGTTGAATCTACTACATTTTCTTTGTCTCAAAAATCAAGTTGTCATTAAAATAAAAAAGGTAAGATAAGTTTATCTGCATGATTTTTTTTTAATGAATTCATGTTTCATTTAGTCCATTTTTTTCCTATTTTAACCTTATTTTTATTCTCAAAGTCTTCATTTAATTTTTGGGTCACACCTAGACTATCTTTAATTTCTACTCTATCCTCTATGCACAGTGATTCTCTTGTGTTTTCCCCTCCTCGCACAACTGAAAAAGCTTTTCCAAAAGCTGTTTAATTTGGTTTGCAGTGTCTAACTCTGCTCAACTTTTCTCTGATACAGTTCTCTGTATCACTATCCTTATGAAGTGCTAAGATATACCTTTTATTTGCTAGCCTGTCCTTCCCCTGTGGCCATTCCTTGATGAGTTTTTATCATTTCTTGTAAAATGTATGAGGTAGAAATTTATCTGAAGGCATACAGTCCCACATGTTAGTTCACCTGGCTGGAGTAACATCACCTTGTTGGTTTAGTAATTGCCTAGTAAAGAAATAACTTGAGTGAGAAATAACTGAACCTTCCTGTTAGTGGCATTCATTTTCTTGTGTAGGCTGGGCAAAATAGTCCTCCACAAAATAAAATAAACAATAGATTTCGTCATATATTTCAGGGACTGAAATGACAGAGCTGCATCTCTAAAGGCTGTTGGTTGATGTCACTCATCCTTGCAGATGGTAGCACATTTGTTAGGACAGGCAAGAGCTCAATACAATCCTAGATGGCAGGAAACATCTAGTAGGCATGTCAGAGAAAGGTTACTTCTCGTAAAGCCTTCCTAGTGGTATTTGACTTGATACAAACCCTGTAGAGCTCGTTCATGCACCAGATTGCATAGATGTTCCTCTAGAGAATTCTGGAATGTATCTGAATAGGGCATAACTGTTTCAAGAGGCCTCTGGCGAGTATCCGTTTGCTCTTATGCAACCTTGTATGGATGCAAAAGAGTGTGGAGGACCTATGAGCAGAGCAAGCACAACACTTCAGAGCAGTGTGTGGAAGAGTGTGTGGTTTTGCATGGGGGCTAAAGGTGCCAACCAGAAATAGGAGCCATGAAATCAAAAATCAGTATCTCTGGGCATTAAAATTCATGAAGATTTTGTCCTTTAGAATTGTTTTCTCCTATGTTTGTGTTTCTCCCCACAGTGTTGTTAGGCCTATTGTCTTAACTAATTTGTGCATATTTACATTCAGCATATTCTCCCACGTTCTCCATATTTTCCTTTACATAGTTGCTGTCCTGAATGGTCCTATAAGATTTCTGTCACTGATCAAAATCTGTTGTCTTCCAACAGTACCTCTAACTCAGTGATGATTTCAAGCTTCTTCTGCAGTCAGAAATATCAGTATAAGATGCATTACATATGTTCTATGTGTCAAAGTTAAAACAGCCAAATATGAGAGAATGAATTGGGGGGGGGGGGGGTGAAGGGAAGGGAAAGGGAGCCTCTACAAAGGTTCTGTTATTTCTTTTAGCATATTCTGATGTTTTAAAGATTATACTTGACTTCCAGTTATATATATGTGTAAGAAAAGACCCTGCATATTAATACCATGTTCTTAAAATACGGGACAGCCAGTGTACTACAGTTCAAAGGGAGGGATCTCATTATAAAAACACAGAATCAGTCATGCTGGCTAGACCTAACTTTCCATAACTGTTTCTTGGCTCCAGCATCGGTGATTAGCTAGAGAAAAGCAGAGACAGTGGCATGCACTAAGTATTTTTTCCCCAGTTTCTCCTTCCGCACTCTGGATATTACTGACTTAGGAACTTAGGAAGATCAGTGTTGCCTCCAGGTCATCTAGTTTAAGAACCACCAATGGACCAAAATTTCATGACTCTGCCTTGTTGTCTTTTCAACCTATTTATACTTTTATCCCTCACATCTTCCTGGAGAAGTAAAGTCCACAGCTGAGAGCATTTTCTCAATTTTAAACATAAAATGCTCATGTGGTTTGGGAGCCCTGAATCTCGTACTGTGAGAAATAGTGATGATTCCCTGTTCACATTCTGATATCATTCGTGTGGTTTCATAGTTTTGTCTTATCTCTCTTCTGACATCTTTTGCAAGGTAAAGAGTCCTAATCTACCTAAACTCATTCAAAAACAGTTCCATTCTTCCTTGAAATCCTTTCCCACCTCTCCTCTGTCTTTTTGGAGATGGGATGATCAATACCAAACACTACATTCACAACATCATGGTGTTACAGTAGGTTTATGCAGCAGCAGAGTCCTTTTGATTTTTTTTTCCTGTTTCTTGCCCGTAATGCTTAACAGCCAATTTGTAAATTTGACCACTACTGATGTTTTCAGAGAATCATCAATATTGACTCCAAGACCTTTTAGTTGAACATTTTGGAAGTCATTTTTGCATAGGATTACGTGTATTTTTTCTCCATACGTATTAGGACACATTAATGGGCACCAAAGATGGAATTCAATTTCCCAAACAGGCATCTAATGTCACAGCAGAGTCAAGCCTGTGTTTTACTTCTGCTACTCTCACATGGATATGTCAGGCACCCTAGGGACTCTAAAATTACTCTAGATATCTATTTGCAAGCAACTGGCACATACCCTGAATGTCACATACCATTTTGTCACCCAGTCAGACAGGAAATCCTACTTCAGGCCTTGATAGACATTAGCAGATCTATCAACCTTGAAAACTTTCGTATCGTCTGGTAACAGTGGCACTATCTGAATAATCCCTCATCCTTTATAATAATTATTTATGCATTTACAGACTGTACAAATCCTCTATGACTCCATTAGCAACCTCTCTTCATTATGAAAATAGTTATTTTATTCCTGCCTGCTGTTTCCTATTTTTATTCAGAACATATTCAAGCCATTTTCTCTAACCTCTTAAGAACTTAGTTACTTAAAGATCTTTTGGGTGAGGGAACCTTCATATGGCTTTTCAAAAACACAGATATAGCATCTTGATCACACAGTTGTAACTCACATTTTTCTCTGAGCTCAAATAAAATTGTATTCGTTCTTACAGAGACTGTATTCATACTTATTAATCTACCTGTTACCACAGCTAAGCTTCAGCAATTTCGCGTTTGAATTCTACCTGGAAAAATATCATCCAATCTTCACAATTAGGTCCTGTTGATTTCATCCAATTTGTTCCAAAATCTTTTCTTTAGACTCCTCAGTTCAAAATAGCTTCTTATATTCACACCTGGAAGAGAAGAACATCCTGATATCCTTAATGCTAAATATTAACTTAAAACTTTGATTTATCTTTCCTGCTTTGAACTTATGTTACTTAGATGTTACATTTATACTTTCAACATTGAGCAACATCCAGGAATTCCTTTCAGGACATTCAACAGACTCTGCTGTACCCCTTGTACAGACAGAGAAGATGAACAGAACATCAACAAGGTTTAGCACACCTCTCCAGTACAACATTCAGGTCACAACCTTCCAGACAGATCTTTCTTCTTTACAAAACACTCCCAGCATACACCTAGTATTGATATTAGAATTAATTCAAGAAAAATTAAATCAAATCAAATATGTGGATAAACAGGAAACATCAATACAAAAAGGAGGACTAAGGAGACTAAGGAATCTCCATCCTTTACTGGATGCGGGGGGAAACTTAGTTACAAGAGATGAGGAAAAGGCGGAGGTGCTTAATGCCTTCTTTGCCTCAGTCTTTAGTGGCAATACCGGTTGTTCTCTGGATACCTGGTACCCTGAGCTGGTGGAAGGGGATGGGGAGCAGGATGTGGCCCTCACTATCCACAAAGAACTGGTTGGTGACCTGCTACGGCACTTGGATGTGCACAAATCGATGGGGCCGGATGGGATCCACCCAAGGGTACTGAGAGAACTGGCAGAGGAGCTGGCCAAGCCCCTATCCATCATTTATCAGCAGTCCTGGCTATCGGGGGAGGTCCCAGTTGACTGGCGGCTAGCAAATGTGACGCCCATCTACAAGAAGGGCCGGAGGGCAGACCCGGGAAACTACAGGCCTGTCAGTTTGACCTCAGTACCAGGGAAGCTCATGGAGCAGATCCTCTTAAGAGTCATCATGCAGCACTTGCAGGGCAAGCAGGCGATCAGGCCCAGTCAGCATGGGTTTATGGAAGGTAGATCCTGCTTGACGAACCTGATCTCCTTCTATGACAGAGTGTCACGCTGGGTGGACGAGGGAAAGGCTGTGGATGTGGTCTACCTTGACTTCAGCAAGGCTTTTGACACCGTCTCCCATAGCATTCTCCTCAAGAAACTGGCTGCTCTTGACTTGGACTGGCGCACGCTTCGTTGGGTTAGAAACTGGCTGGATAGCTGGGCCCAAAGAGTCGTGGTAAATAGAGTCAAGTCCAGTTGGAGGCCAGTCACTAGTGGCGTCCCCCAGGGCTCAGTGCTGGGGCCGGTCCTCTTTAATATCTTCATCGATGATCTGGACGAGGGCATCGAGTGCACCCTCAGTAAGTTTGCAGATGACACCAAGTTAGGTGTGTGTGTCAATCTGCTCGAGGGTAGGAAGGGTCTGCAGGAGGATCTGGATAGGCTGCACCGATGGGCTGAGGTCAACTCTATGAAGTTTAACAAGGCCAAGTGCCGGGTCCTGCACCTGGGGCGCAATAACCCCAAGCAGAGCTACAGGCTGGGAGATGAGTGGTTGGAGAGCTGCAGAGAAGGACCTGGGAGTGATGGTGGATAGTTGGCTGAATATGAGCCAGCAGTGTGCTCAGGTGGCCAAGAAGGCCAACGGCATCCTGGCTTGTATAAGAAACAGTGTGGCCAGCAGGGCTAGGGAGGTGATCGTCCCCCTGTACTCGGCTCTGGTGAGGCCGCACCTCGAGTACTGTGTTCAGTTTTGGGCTCCTCGCTACAAGAAGGACATCAAGGTGCTTGAGTGGGTCCAGAGAAGGGCAACAAAGCTGGTGAGGGGCCTGGAGAACAAGTCCTATGAGGAGTGGCTGAGGGAGCTGGGCTTGTTCAGCCTGGAGAAAAGGATGTTCAGGGGTGACCTTATTGCTCTCTACAGATACCTTAAAGGAGGCTGTAGCGAGGTGGGGGTTGGCCTGTTCTCCCACGTGCCTGGTGACAGGACGAAGGGGAATGGGCTTAAGTTGCACCAGGGGAGTTTTAGGCTAGATGTTAGGAAGAACTTCTTTACTGAAAGGGTTGTTAGACATTGGAACAGGCTGCCCAGGGAAGTGGTGGAGTCACCATCCCTGGAGGTCTTTAAAAGACATTTAGATGTAGAGCTTAGGGATATGGTTTAGTGGGGACTGTTAGCGTTAGGTCAGAGGTTGGACTCGATGATCTTGAGGTCTCTTCCAACCTAGAAATTCTGTGCTTCTGTGATTCTGTGATTTTTCTTGATAAACCTACTCAGTCTTACTATAAGACAGAAGTAAATAACAATTTTCAGTATGTCACCAACCTTATTGTTTTTGATGTAATTATCTGTGAAAGATCTTTTTCCTTCTTCATGAAGCACTATCAGTTTTACATGTATTCAGTGCTAGTCATTCAATGTCTGTATTACGAATTAAAAACATAAGAAAAAATTTTCTGCTCTTCAGAAGGATGTAAAAAGCCTGTTAATTATGTATCAGCCATGAGCATGCAACTGTAGACATAGAGTTAAAAAGAAGTTTCATGATAGACGTATCATTTTCTGAATCAAATGGATATTTAAATCTCAGTTGTCTCAAGAAAGGAGAATAGAGTGTCTAATATCTCACTGAAATGAACAATAGTGTGCACTTGCGGAAGGAGAAAGAAAATTGCTTGGACAGGTAATATGAATTCCAGACGTGCTAGTGATTGCTTTGCTTTGCCATTTCTGAAGCGTCAAGTTTTCAAATCAGCATAATTCACCTCTAATTAATAGTACCAATACCCTAAACCCATTTTTTTTTCTGCAATTGCTTTTTCATGTGTCTTTTCCTTATGTTCTCACCCTAAGACAGTATGTAGGCTTGTGAGGCCTACAACCACACATTCATAGTTCAGCAACATTTATAGTTCAGCAAAGACCTTAAGCCGTGCTTTTCAAGTTTTATTAAAAACAAGTTGCAGTTCCATACTGATTTTCCTGCTGTGCATACAAAAATGCCAAAAGCATGTTTGGGGTATATTAACAAATTTCAGCAGCACAAAACCAATCCTACATGTTGCAGATAATTAAACCATCTGAAATAGTTTTGGAAAGGTGGTTTCTTTTGTGATCTGTGAGTAATTCACTTTCATGGACACATATGCATTCTTAGAACTGGCTAGGGTAATTTACACATTACAAGGCTTCTAGATATAGTTGGCCACTTATCCAGTGCTAATAAATTGAAAATGTGTGTGCATGATTTAAAAAAGAAAGGAAGATGTGAATGTAATGCAGGTAATTGCTGAATTACAGTTCTGCTTCTGACAGCTAAAGATTACATGAATAGAGCTATCTGGAGGACACAAGTTACTTTGCATCAAGTTTCAAAATATTGATTTTTCTTCTAACTGTTTGAAAACAATTATATGACTATTTTTGAGAAAATGCTTTATGTTAAAATGTCTGTTTTTAGGCAAAATGATTCTACACATTCAAGTCTGAGTTTGTATGTGGGGAGGGGTGCAGGACCATATTTTCTTTCTGCATACATAATGGACTTTAGAGGGACCGGGGGGGGGGGGGGGGGGGGGGGGGGGGAAGGAGAGGATGTGAAAAAAGCCTATAAAACCAAGGAAGATTTTGTTGCAAAATGTTTCACTTTCAAAAAAAAAAAAAGACGGCTTTCTTGTTAAAAACTTTTCTGCTATAGCCCATTTCTACCGGTATTTCCATCTCACTAGTCACTGACTTAATTGATGTATCATTTCCAATGCCTAACTTTACAAAACTGTACTTCTAAATTGAACCTCTGCAGGTTCACAAAGAGCTTCAGTTTCGAAGAGCTCTCTACTTCAGAGAGAAACCTCTTCCTTTATCAAGGTTTCATTCCTGACTGCCAGTACCAGATATATTGCAAGTTTTGTTACAAAGTCTATGGGAAAAACAGAAAGCCTGAGAGCTTCTAAAAGAGGTGGAAGTTTGGGAGAGAAATGGAAACATGTTTGAAGAGTACTGGAGAGCTTTATTGTGGCAGGTATAAGCAGGTTATCCAGCAAATAGCTTTCTCATCTTGCCTTGCTCTTGCAACCCCTCTATTTTTTCTAGATCTGTTTGATATTGAATTTCTCCCATCACAATCATTTTCACAGAATCACAGAACTGAAGGGGTTGGAAGGGACGTTGAAAGATCATCGAACCCAATCCCCCTGCCAAAGCAGGTTCCTTACAGCAGGCTGCTCAAGTAGGTGTCCAGACGAGCCTTGAGTATCTCCAGAGAAGGAGACTCCACAACCTCCCTTGGCAGCCTGTTCCAGCGCTCCATCACCCTCACTGTGAAGAAGTTCTTTTGCGTGTTAGTGTGGAACTTCCTGTGCTCAATTTTGTGGCCATTATTCCTTGTCCTGTCCCCACAAATGACTGAAAAGAGGTTGACCAAATCCCTGTCTACCATTTTTCAGATGGACATGTAAAAAAAATATAAACCTAGATTTACAACCCTCAAGCAGGAAGAAATTTCTTTACATATGAGCAAAGGTTTCCGTCTGCACTTTAATGATGGAAATCTGGAGAAACATCCATGAGTTGAGTCAAGTCACAAAGTTATGAAACAGGTGTAAAGGTTTGGAGACATGACTCAGCAGTTATATATTCCTGTTCAAACACAAATTGGAAAATATTTGTCAGAGGAAAGTATTTTTTTCTTTCTTCCCCATCTAACAATTCTTATTATCAATCACAGAAATAATTTTTTCCATTGTCCATTTTCATTTTCTAGGCACTAGTAGCCAAAATGCTGTACAATTATTTTGTACTGAGTAGACAAAGTATTTCAAACACAGCTCAACATCTCTGCCTTCCTTCTTAATTCAGACATTCTGGAAATGGTGTCATTCTTATCACTCCTCCTATTATTTCCACTCCACATCTCCAGTGGCTTCAGATCTTCCTGCCGCCCATCCAACACAGTCTTTGAAAATTCCTCAACAACTCACACCAGCCACTGGCATCAGAATCAGCCCTCAGCAGCCCAGCACTACTTTGGAAAGTGGATGTCATTATTATCATTGATCACCAATGGAGCAGGGGATCTGTGTTAGCTGAAAAGACGCTTACTTCAGTATTGCCTCAGTTCACGGTGGTTCCTTTTCTGTCTCCTGATATTTTATTACAGAAGAATCATTTTAATTGGCACATGCTGGTGGAAACAAAACTGCATCTGTTGAGGGCCAAATTCTAGCACTCCTGTTCAGGTGGTACAAGTCCCTTGTTCTGGAGTATGTCCATTGAAATCAAGGGACCTGCCCAATTGTTAGAGTTTCACAGGAACGTATTGTTCTGATAGGTATTCACTTTTATTTCATAATATGCTTTAAAAATATACACTGTACAAACCATTAAGAAAACTTCTATTAAAGTAAGTTTTGCCATAATAGAGCAGGGAAACAGCAGAAAGTGAACAAAGAGCTACCCAGCACGACGCTTATGCTAGCAAACACCAGTTCTCACCTGTTAACTACTGTGAATAAAATCTTTGGAATCAGTTCCTCCAAAAAGTCAAAAATGAAAGAAAAACTGTTCACCATGTAAGAAAACTGGAATTTCAAGTGTGCTGCTGAAAGCTTACAGAGTCTGATCATCATTTTTAATCAGTCACTTCTGAGATTACCTGAAGGAACGGATGGAGAGGACTTGGCAGGTATACAAAGTATACACAAGCACAGAAGAATTAGTCCTCATAATGTTGAAGTAAAATGAAAGGCAGCCCCACTAGGTCCCAGCAAAGATACAGTTCTGAACTAAAAGTTCAGCTAGAGCTTTGGTCCTAGGAGATAATTATAAGGCTTTCTGACCTTACTGACCCAACTTAATGAAATGAATATAGCTGAACCGAGGAGAGAAGAAAAATATACAGTGAGAATAAAAACAGGGTTCCTGATCTGTGACAGCTATTCAGATTCTTGAGAAAAGACACGTCATTGTCAAAGGCTCTTTCATTAATAGATGTCAGCCTTCTTGGCTATAAGCAACCAAGCACCATATAGAAACAAGTGGAAAAATTCTGTTCCCACATATATATGTATGTCCACAAACCTGGAGATGTTTGCCTGAAAACTGTCAATAAAGACCAAGTGATTGTTTTCAGGACATCTGCTTGCGATCCTACAGACATAAAGTGAGCATGTAATCATGAGTTTTATTTATCAATCTAAAGTGCAATTACGCATCCTTACCTTTGTGAGGATCATACACCTGGACAATATTTCGTCAATGTAAGTGATCAGTACAAATCTGTCCCCTCACTATTAATAATAAAAATTCATTATTTGGAATAGAATTTTCTTGCAGAAGAATGCAGATCAGAGAGACCTATGATTACTGAAGAACCTACGGTTTTATATCTCACATATGTTGAATCTGCTTTACATTAGCCCAGGGTCCAAAGTAAGCTTCAACTAGAAAAATCCAGCTGTGGGAAGTATGGCTTGGTGAGTTTTTGAGTGTTACGAGGCTGCCTTCCCAATCACTGCTACAGGAGTGTATGTTTCATCCTCAGAGAAACAGTGATATGGCTTGCACATCCACAGCCCAGCAATTCTTAGCTCCACAAGCAGCGCAAAGGGTCTGTTCACAGGTGACACAGCATAAATCCTGAGGCTGTATCCCACTCTCTGTTATTTACACATATATGTAGTCTTAAACAAGGGACACTTTAGCAGGTAAGAGCAAGGTACAGTACATAATGTGCAAATTCAGTTCAGCAGAACTCCAACTAAAGCATGTCAGCCTCAAGGGCTTTTCTCTCAAACAGTGCTCCTAAGTTCTCCACAGAAGGAAACTTGCTGAACTACATCTTTCTGAACTTTAAAGAAGAAAGTCCTGATTCTCACCCGAATCAGGGAGTAAATGAATGAGTAACTTCACTGAAGGCAAGAAGCTGCCCTGGTCTAATGCTAGGAGACCTATAGAGAATCCAGACATGCAGTCATTACAAGAAAATGTTCTTACTTTTTAAAGTCTTTTGTTATAGAAACATTATCCATCTCTGTAGCTTTATTCTCAGCAGCAAACTTTAGACTGATCTTTGAGGATTCTCTTAAATAACCTCTAGTATAGACATATAAAAGAAGCAGACCAGAACAATCAAACCTAAGGTTTACTTTTAAATGTATCTCTATCTTCTCTCTCTTATTCCCAGATTGCCCTCCTTCCCCCCCTACCCTTCCTTCATCCTTTTCCCAAGCCAGTTTCATTCCCATCTTTTTCTCCCCAGATGATTCCCTCGCAGCAGGCAGAGAGGTACCACTTTCAGGCAACTCCTGCTGTGCATCAGTTGTTCACATGAAGACTATTTCTTGAGGCTCCTTTGCATGGCTCAGCCTGCCCAGATCTAAAAGAACATGTACTCCTGCCACAGTTGCTTTAGCCTTAATAATTTCTATCTGTGTCATTTATTTCTTGGCCACAGAGAAAGCTCATTTGGTTGGAAGGTGAACTGCTGCCTATTCCGAATAATTTCAGATTCAGTCCTAGACTCTGACTGGTACCTTGTTTTAAGATTCTTTCTTTTCTTTCCTTTGAAATTAATGAACTTTTTCAAATTGCCTCATGTGATATATCATAAGGTGTTTTTTTTTAGTTTTGCAAAAAAAAAAAATAATCCAAAAGAAGTAGTGTTTATCTGCTAAATATCTCCTGATTTCCTTATTACTTCTTTGAAACCGAGTATCTGGGAAGTTGTGCTGTTCCTGTTTTGGTAGAGCAAAGCCTTGATGAACTGACTCATGCAATTTCACAAATTTGGATTCAGACAATGTTCAAAATAGAAATTCATAAGAGCTCTTTCCTCTGGTAAATAAATAAACCAACAAAACAATCAACAAATCAATGTACAAACAAACTAAACAAAACAGAGAAAAAAAATATCCTGGCCTTTTTAGAAAATCAGTTGACACTATGCACTTCTGCAGATAACCTGGAGGAAACAATGAATTTAAGTGGGTGTCTTATCTGGTGTGAGGCTGTTTTGTTGTTTACTGTATACTCTAGAACACCTCCATGCACTAGTTTCTGTTCAGTTACTTTAAGCCAAAATCATTTTCAATCTCTGCCACATTCAGTTCCTCCTATTTCCTGGCTACATCCATGTGTGATCCACATGCTTTATTTTTATCTTAGCAAAATAAGGAAACATTTTCTGATGGAGTCCTGGAAGAAAATCTGGGGTAGTGGAGAACTGGGAGAGGGTTAGAAGAAGCCCAAACCTGAATGGAGATGAAAGAAATATGTAGTCACAAGTTTGTGACTTGATCATGCAACAGAGAAATGTATACCAGTATTGGCAGTGGAAAGTAGCCAAGTTCTCATAGGCTCTACTTAGATGTAGTGCGTAGACTGGGTTTCCTAAGACATGGTCCTAGCACCTGTCCAATACACACCTTTGGCGCTTCTGCAAGATACAATTGTGCTGTTTTTGACCCTGCAAATCAGCATTTATGCAACTGGTATTTTGTCTTTGAGCTGATATTTATCAACATCCTCTGGCTTCTTTAATTTGTCAGGTCAAATGTTTCTTAGCATCCATGGAGATATTTCTCCCGCCCCAGCCCTCCTACTGGTCTCTGGCTTATTAGGTTCTTCGTTAGCACTATTCTTAACTACTTGTAAAGGAATTATCATAAACTATTTCTGGTAGAGTGTTTTTACTTTGGCCTTCACAACACTTCTTTCACAGGTGCAAACACTTTTTCTTAAAAAAATTTAAAAATACAGATGTTTAAATTGTGCAAAACTAAATGAATTGGGACAATTAAGTCAAAGGAATTCAGGAAATAAATTAAAAAGTAAACTTCAAGAGCACTTAGAAAAATTATTTTTCTGACTAAATATTTGAGACACTCCCCCCCAATATTTCATTTCTATACTGAAAGATTGAAAGACCATATATAGTAAACTTTAATGGTACACAGTAAAGCCGCATATCTTGCATTGTCATCATCATATTAATGGTATCTCGTGATACTAATTTTAAAAAGTCTAAGAAAATTAGCATTACGTATTTATTAGCATATTACTCAAATGATTTATAATCTCAGAGGTCCCTGCAGTACCGCTTAAATTTTTTTCTTTTGTTTCACTGGGAAAAAATGCTTCTCTTGTTTACTTACACTTCTCGCAAGGTAGTGCAATCTTTTCATTCCACCTTCATATAGAACTCTTTTCTTTTTGCCCTCAGGACTCCACACAGTGTCTTGAATGTGTTTGTCTAAGGAAAGAACATGGGAAAGGTATCAATAGCATCAGTTCAAATTCTGAAAATACCTTACATGTGTAAATCTTTTATTTTTTTCCACATTTACAACCAACCAAACAACCAACCAAACAACAACATAGTTTTGGGGAAAAAAAAAAAAAAAGAAAAAAAAAGAAAGGTTTCAAAAACAAAACCTAACAGGCTCAAGGGTTAAGGGACAAGACATTCTTATAGTGCAAAGATACTGCTGAAAATTTTTACCAGGATTGGAAGTGGAGTTGGCAAACTGATTTAAATTAGTCAGGCCTGGCTATATTGGCGAGGCTATGCTAGCATGTCCATTTTTTTATGGCAGTGCTTCTCTGGGATTCTTACATAAAAGAGTATAAAGTGGGCATTCTCCGCTTGATGCAATTTCACTATATAGTGATTCCCATCAATGTATAATTAAAAGTGGATTTCCTTTTCCCTGTTTGGCTGAGGTGGGGGAGGGTCTGCATAAACCTGGTTGATGTGAAGTGAACAAAGAGAACTTTCATGAGTTCTCCTACAAACAGTCTATCAGTTACAATTCCTAGTGTTCACACTGCTGCACTGTTCAAAAGGAGCTCTAAAAAAAAGTCAAGCAGGGGGTCCAAGAAAAATTCAACCCGCATGCCAACTAAGGGAAAGAATGAGAAGGCAGGGAAAAAAAAAATAGCTTTTGTTGTAAAAAGAACTAATGAAGCTGCTCTTAGAACTGTCCATGGTGACACAACAAGCCTGTGCACCCACACACATTGTGAGAATGCCAGTCACCCACAGTAATGAGAAAAGGAAACACTGTGGGCAAAGGAAATATATGAATACACTGCTTTTATGGTTTAACTGTGGGGAATCACAACGCTGGCCCACAATATCTTGTGCCAACTGCCAAAAGTGGTAAAATAATACATAAGGTTGTCTACTTATATTTTTCTTACAGACAAGATGGACTGGTGGGGGGTAAAATCCCATTATCATTATAAATTGCTAATTAAATAATTATCAATTAGATGGGCAGACAGAACTCATTCCAATGAATTCCTTGGAGGGCTTTCAGTAAAGAAAAACAGTAATTTTGATTATTTTTTTTATCTATACTTCCTGCCTAGGGGCTCTAAATAGAGATGATATATGGTGTATCCCATGTTAGACTTTCACACAGTATATCCCATGTTAGAGCTCAGGGACAAACACTGAACTTTGGAGCATATAGAGATCTTTTTTCAGTTTTTCAGATAAATGGCCTTAATTTCATGACATTAATTAGAAGCCCAGGGTTATTTCCTAAGGAATAAAAATAATATTTTCCAGACTTTTATGCGGCTTTGAAAAATCTTTTTTTTTTTCAATCAACTGATAATATTTTCTAATGTCATTTCACTTCCTTTTCCTTTTTTTCATAATCCCGAATTTTCTTTGAAAAAAAATAAAATATTTAATACATATAAATATACAGATGTTAAGCATGGCTGAACATAGTGCAAGGAATATTTTTACCAACTTTGTTCTATTCATTTACACTAAAACCAATGCAAAATTAAACCTTATGGCCATGGGTTTTGTCAAGTTTTCCAATCAGACCCTTGGGCAAAAATACTGTTGTCACAGTACTGAGCAAGAGAAACGTTCCTGTAATGTCCTGTGCCCCTTAGTCATGTGAGTAATTTTTCCTGAGGAGAGGGTCCCAACAGCTTGAATAAAACTTACTCAGCTATGATCAGTAATTACTTACATGTGCACACACTGGTTGTACCCACACTTTTCTTGTCCTAACTGAGTTTTCCAAGACAATTAAAAACTACATTGATGTTCAACGGTTATTAAATGAAGAAATGAAAAAAAAATAAAAAATAAAGCCTCAGCTGTCTGTAGCAGGAAGTATTTTCGAGGAACAGAAGTTCTACAAACTGAAAAGTCACACTAATGTTTGGGAAATAGTTTCCATTGCTGGCAAACACCACCACCACCACTGCCATAAAAAAAAAAAAAAAGAAAAAAAAAGTAAGGAACGGAAAGGATAACATGAAAGATGGACTTCTAATTCCAAAGCCACAAACATTTAAATATGAATGAGGCTTGCTGCAGTCCGCTATCTTTTGTCAGGAAATATGAACCTTTTGTTGCCTTCTTTGTTAACTGTATGAGGCTGAAAGGAGTTAGATGCCTTGCTTCATTTTCAAGCCCCATCACAATGAGGACCTCAAAAATAAATTCTGATAAATACATGAAAATTCTGAAGGGTTGATAAAGGAGAGAAAACTTTATTTTCCAGAGTAATCTGTCAATAGGTGACATACCAGGGATGATCAAATGGCAAAAACAAATGGCAAGTTAGAATTTTAAGGTTTAGAAAAGGGAAATGAGTTACAGTATAAAATAAAAATATAATTATAGTAAAACATTTGAGAACACTGATATAAAATACGTTTGGCAATATAAACGTCTTTTCCCTCAGGTTTGCTATTTTTCTCTGGGAGATCACAGAATCCCAAGGGAAGTTCCTTATGATGATGTTCCCTAATGTGATTTACTTTGAGGAATACTTAATACTTAACGGAGAAAGGTGCCTACTACATTTTGTTATTGAGTTTTTGTTCATGGTTCAGGATTGATCCACTTGAGTCTTTCAGCAGGGAGTAGTTTTCCAGTGTGGCACAGCATGACTCCAAATCAATAAGGTTAATAGATGTGGTGGCCACACAGTCAGAGGTGATGTGCCTGGCATTTTCTGTGCCAATGAAGAAAATTTTTGATGACGAGATGTCATTTTTGTGCCGGCAGTAATGTCACCCTGATTACCTACAGCACATAGCCAGTTAGTAAGTTAGCAAAACTGTAAATGGCCCATTAATCTGAATTATCTTTACAGAAACTGTTTGAAAAAAAATTTGCTGTATAAAAATGACATTGCTGTGAAAAAGTGACTAAATGAGAATGGCTACCCTGGAACTTCACTGTATATTTTTAAACTCTCAACACTGTAGTATAAAACCTGCCAGACATTAAAAAAAAAAAAAAAAAAAAAAAAAAAAAAAAAAAAGTCAACCAAAGGAAAATAAATAAGTACAATACAAAATACCACTGAAAAAAAAAAAAAAAAAAAAAAAGCAGTAATATATTGATGCCAAATCTACTGGTGTAATGAGAGTGCCATGTGTTGGTCTTCCTGCAGTTCTCATTTTCTCTGACTTTTTAAAATATGCAAACTCTCAACAGTGCCTCCCAGAGCATTAATGGGTACATATTCCCAGATGGCTTGTGTTGTGAAAGAAGTGCTGGACTAGACTGCAAAGAGAAATCTGTTTAATATTCCAATATCTAAATGTCAGGAAGGTGTAATTCAGAGTGACACTGAAAGATGAGCTGAACAGAATACAATTTATAGTGACTTTAGTTAACAAATGGCATTAAGGGAAGGATTTCCATAATTAAATCATTAACTAATATGAAATATTGATTTCTCCTCTGATATTACTATATCATCACTTGTCGGACTTGCTGACGCCCAAAGAGCTCTTAGTGCAGTCTCTACCAGCAGCAATAATAATTTGCACAGAGCAAGGTACTCTGTGTACCAAACATCCTTGTCCCAGAGACTTCACAGATAACGTTTTGAAGAAAAATAGTAAGATGGTAGGATGGGTGCAAGGAAAGTCTGTGCAAACAGACTGGATAAAATGATGGTTTGTATTACAAGGCTTGCTCCATATTGCCTTCCTTCAACTATATCTACTTTTTGTTAACTGGTTTGGTGTGAGCCAACTTTACTTCAGCTTTTCCTAGACTTCTTTACAGAGCTTCTAAATAGACGTTTTATCTGAAGAGCTAAATTCTATTGCAATTGACATCAGGAACTCTTATTTTCTAACAGCAAGGGTTCTGATTTTTTTTTTTTGACAGCTCTTTATATTTCAGTATTGTCCAAGGGAAGTTGAGTGTGCTCCATGGAAGGAATACAGCACATTCAATGATGATTCCAGTTATATTCTAATACGCTCATTAACCATGTTAAATAGTTGAACTTATTAAGTTAACTTGAAAATGTGGAAGGAATGGAACAGGCAAGATTAAAAATAAAATAAAATAAATAAAATAAAATAAAATAAAATAAAATAAAATAAAATAAAATAAAATAAAATAAAATAAAATAAAATAGGAGCATCTTTTCAGATGCTCCTTAATTGAGTTGTAATCAGTATTGATCATTAGTCCTTTCTTTTATCAGCATGATGAAGATAATGATGATGACGATGATGCAATGTGCAGCATTTAGATCATAAAGGAAGGAAAAATTGTTTAAATATCTGATGATAATTGTTTTTTGGTGAAAGGTGTTATAGGCTGTACAATATGATATATTACTCTCAAATTGATGACAGAGCTTGAAAATACCTGAATAAGCAAGATTTCCTTTTCTTGGTATACTTTTCCAGATCTACGTTTAAAGAATCAGTCCACTCAGAGCTAAAAAAAGAGGTGCTATATTTTGGAAAAATGCATTAAAAATATGTTATTTTCTACCTCAGTCTTTCAGCAGGAAAGCAGTTCTTCTACCAGTTAAACATTCAAAAATCATGTCTCATTTGAATAAATTAACATATTTTGTGACAAAAAAAAATAATTCCAAGGAAGTAACAATAAATAGGAAAGCAATTTAAATTGTGTATTTTACAGGGGAGAAAAAAAAAAAAAAGAAAACCCAACATTGTCATGCGTATGACAGCTCAGCTAATTTGATGGGCTTTGATGTTAATTTAGGGTTTACTTTAATTTCAAAACATATTTTTTCACTTAATAAGGGAAACAAAAGAAACTTTCAACCAGTTTGTTATCTGGGAATGTTTTGGCTTCTCAAATGTGAGAACATGATTGTTTTTATTTCCAGGAGGAGATAATAACACTGAAGCAATAAAAAAGAGTCAAGGCAGCTTGCACAGCGCAGGAAGTTCACAGCCAGAGACTTAATTTCCCACACAATGTACTGTGCAATGGGCCCATTAACACAGATGAATAGGCTCTTTAAAGGTTTTTTTTTTTTTCCAGATATGCAGCTGCGGCTGAATGGTGCTATGTTAATAAGGTACTCACATGCCTATTCTTCAGGTACTCTGGCATTCTCTGCCTAGGTAATCTCCATATTGGAAAAGCTATTAGGGGTTGTATCTCCTACCACACCTTCAATTATTTTAACATCTGCATTGATAATCCAGGCAAGGTAAATTGATAGGGGGCTGAGGGTCTACGTCCATCCTCTTCCCCGCCAAAGTCACATCTTAGGGGGTGGGGCCTAAGGAGAAGAAAAAAAGTAAAGTCACTTTTATTACACATCAGTGGGAACATTCTGAAAAAGCTTTCATGCCTAGGAAATTGTTATTTCTTCAAACAACTGACAGCCTGCAGAGGAAACTCTAATGGAAATCCAGCTCATGCATTGTTATGCATGGCCCTCATGTAGATACATGGGGGCGGATTGAGTTAGCTTCCAAAGGGTCTATTGTGTGCGGCATTAATTTGCAGTGCTCTTGATATTTGAGTTTGAAGGTTTTACAACCTTTGTGTTTACTTAGATGCACTATATCCTAGGTTTGTTTATTTCCTTCCACAATCTCTTATTACCCTGTAAACGTTACATTTGTCTTTATTAACTTTCAGTCTGTTGCTGTAAATCACAGAGAAGGAACAGCTTCCTTGAAATGTATTAGTTTTAGAGGCTTTTTTCTTTCTTCTTGGTCAGTTCCGAGTTATCCATCTGTTAAAACACTGGCTTTCTTTGTAAAACCAGTAGATTTAAAGCATAAGAACTATGTCATTTATTATTATTATATTATTAAATCATACATAAATACATTATATTTCCCATGTCATATACGTGCAGCTAAATAAACCAATCAATACAGTCTTCCAAAAGATTGTAAATCTGAGACTGGCACAACTGCCTCTTGCTACACAGTGATATGAGAAAAAATGCTCATGACACTTCATCATGAGCAAAATCTTTCTACTGTTTCCTCAGAATCCTCTACAAAATTCTTTGCTGTCACATACAGGTCTTTGTCTCCTAGTATTAAGATCTGAAATACAAATAAGACTTGTCCTATGCTGCCTTAACTTTTATTATTTCTTCTGTAAAGATACAAATACAATGTAGACAGCCATTTTTGTAAATTCAACTTTCCCTTAAGATTTAAATTCAGTAGATCCTAATGGCTTTTTATTTGAACTTGTCAGAGATGTCTAGAAGTGTTAGTTTTTCAACACTGAACTAAGAACTCAAAGTAACTTGTACGTTCAAAAGAAGCTATGATCCTAATCTGAACTAAAAGACTCAATTGAATAAAAATACCTTATGCTCGAGTAACTCCAGTTATGTGTGGTTCCTTCCTTTCCCTTCCCCTTTATATGGAAGTCAGACAGTTAGACGTTTCTGTATTTTAATAACACAAAAGGGTTTCTTGTAAAAAAAAAAGTGTCTGACTTACAGTAATTAGGGTCTGAGTAGTATCAGGTGCATAGTTTACTCAAAAACAAAACAAAACAAAACAAACTAGCACTACGGGAAAACCCTTTTAAATCACAGAAAGTTTTGAATTCAGGTCTTGATGCTACATAATGGATTAAGAGAAAAGAAATTACCTTCTTTAGGGCTCACTCATTAGGGGCACAACAGCAGAAACAGCTGCCTCGAAGACCTGCTTGCTTGTTAGGCTGAGGGATTCTATTTGGAAGCTGTCTCAGACTGAGTGGGAAGAAATGCAGACCAAATGCTAGGAGCCACTGACATCAGCTGTTGAAGAAGTGAAGATCTTAATCCAACCTCTGGGGCTTGGGATCTTTTCTAATGTCCTAGGAAATGATAACAGTGGGAATAGAAGGAACTACATTTCACAGAGCTCTTTGAAGTACTGTGGTACTACTGCATTGTATAAAACAATAGCACAGCTTCCCCTGGAACATGATAAAAGTATATGAAACTGTGGCTGGTTTAGATAATATAGATCTAGTGCGTCTGTTCTCCTTGTTTTGTAACACAAGGACAAGGAGTGATAATAAAGAGATGCAAATTCAAAACCAATAAAAGGAAAGCCTTCTTTCGTCACTTTGGATAATTAGGCTATTGGTATGCAATATCATAATATTTCATTGAAGTCAGATTAAATCTAGCAGATTAAAAGAAGAAGTCAGATATTTGTATAATACAAGAATCTCCTGCATTTCAGCAGTTAACTTGAATTACTGGCAAATAAGAAAAGACCTGTGTCTGGAACAGTATGGTCTTCATTCGCTATCACCAAATTCTGCCTTCAACTGAATTCTCAGACCCTGGCTTTTGCCAGAGATATGGTACTACCCTGCCCCCCCCCCCCCCCCCCCCCCCCCCCCAATAAATAAATAAATAAAAATTTGAGTACACATCACAAAACTTGTCTTGGTATCATAAAACTGGTAAAGCTCTCCTGGTCATCTGGTCATAGTGGTGTCCAAGACTCCTACTGAAGACCTCCCATAGGTTATCAAAGACTGTATTACGAAGACAAAAAATACTCCTTCCTACTTAGCAACAACCATCTCTCCATTTTAAAAAAAGGGAAAGTTGGTGACAGGAGTGACCAATGCAATCAGGCAGAAATTGTAGGCTTTTCTTTGTTACTTTCGCAACTGTGAAAACATTTTTGGAACATTAACATATGTATGTATTTCTCTAGCAGAGCTGTTATTTACTTAATACATGAGGTATGAACTCACTTAACTTACTGCATGTTAATTCTGTGCAGTTTTTTACAACCTCCCCATATTCCACAAGAGGAGCCATACACAAAGAGAATATTATACACCTGAACTGGACCCCTCTATTTTTTATCCATGCTCTCTTTAAGCAACCATTCCAAGAGACATATTATCTGAAATGTCGTGATGAATGTTCCGTATATTAAAGCAGGAGTCTGATTTGTCATTGGTTTCAAAATGTGCACAGTACAATTATTGACTAGGCTTCATCAACCCTCTGACAACCCAGGGGAGGATAATCTACTCCAGTTCTCACGGTAACTCACACCTATCTGTTCACTGCACTTGGTATCATGGGAAGTACAGGCCAGGCCACACCTATCCTCTCCCATTACCCTAATCTTCCGAGGACGTATGGAGGTGGCCATGTCTCCACCTTCTCACCTTTATGGACCAAGTCAGGAGCAGGTAAAGTGAAAACTTTAGATTTTGTGTACTTTTTAAAGACAAGAAATAGTTTATCTTTTTCTGACTCATACAATACCAAATATTTAATAAATACCTGGAGTTAACTGTGGCAGGGAGGAGATGAAACTCAGCAGTTTCCCATTCAGGCAATGAGCAGGAAACAAAATCTTCAAAGCACATTACCTTCCCAGTGTCTCCGAATGTGACCAGTTGACAGATACCCAGGAAAACAGGAGTTGTTTGGAGGAACTGCACGTTGGGCAATGATGAAGATAAATTAATGTAGACAATCTGTATGGCTGCGATGGTAAAAGACACACTTCAAAGCTAAGGACTGGTCAATCAGAGGTTTGTTACCAGCCAAGGAAAATTATAGGTATTCTAGAAAATAAAAGCCATTGGAAAGGAGCTGGTCAAGAGGAAGAAAAAGTTAAATAAGAGGAACAGTGTAAGGAAAAAGTACATATAGAGGGAAGCAGGGAAAATAAGGTATCAAATCATAGGAAACAAAAAAAAAGAGTAAATATCTGCGTGAAGTAGCAGACAAATTGTAAGAACATTGTGTATGGGTGACAGTGAAGAGCATGTGGTGTAGATGTTTAATGTTTTAAAGTTTAATGGAAAACTAACTTACTGGGAAACGCTGGAGCTAAACCATCTATCTATCTAATTTTAAAAATGTGTTTTGTTCATGTTTTAGTAAGCAAAAAAAAATGCAGCCTCGTGCTCTGTCTTGGAGCACTCACAATGTTCAGGATGTATTCCAGTAAGTAAATTTGATGGGTCATCACTCATTTTTGCAACCAAAATTTTGGTGTTTATATGCAGAAAATGGGGCTTGGCTTGATTCCAAAATCAGGACTGCTTCCACACACAGGCCAGGATAATTTAACTTAAAATGAATGCTCATTTCCATACAACTGTATTACATATATCGGAATATTGGCCCACATCAGGTTTGGTTTCTAATTTTACCTTTCACAGCAAAGGCCCTGACAAGAGACAGTCCCAACCCAATGAACAAAATTCATACAAAGCCCTTGCATAAAAGGAGGAATGCTAGATAATTCATTTTCTTGCCTATTAAGGTGTACTTTGACAACTTGACTTCTTGGAAACTAATGAAAATTACGGGATCATGGTTCTTTTGCTTTATCCCTTTTTAAACACAGTAGGACAAATTAACAGAAGGAAGAGAGTGATCCCAGCAGTGTGCATCCTTAATAGTAGGGTCTGTATCTCTGTCTCTCTGCTGCTCCTGGAGGCAGTTCTTAACTGCAGACTCCAGTGTGATGTGGCTTAGAGACAACCATCCTCATTGCTGAACACCGTGATTCTTTTGCAGCAATCAGTTAACTTGTTCAAACCACCACAGAGCAGGGGCAGTTTGCAAGAAGCAAAGGTAATCATTTCTACATTAAGTATCTGGCAAAGGTGTGGGCTATGTGCAGGGGGAAGGGACACGGGGGGGGAGGAGCTGCAGAACATGGTAGTGGAAGATGAAGAAACAGCTACCAAAAATAAATCCAGTGTTTCATAGGAAGGTGTAAGGCGGCAACAAGACTGGAGACAGGACCAGGAAGGCAGGAAGACTGCACATCTGCAGAACATTTTGTTCTAACATGTTCTTTTGCCTTTATCTTTTGCTGTTTTTTTTTTTTTTTTTTTTTTTTTTTTTTTTTTTTTTTTCAGGCTGTCTGCAAAGTTTTGCAAAAGACTCCCACTGCCAAGGCAAGCAACATGACTGGGTACTGAGATGGTGCTTCTTATCTATGGGATTCTACCTTTTTTCTATTTTGTTCTTCTGAGATGGGCTGCTAAGGAAATAAGGCCCCATGTAATTTCCAGCAATGGCGAGTGAATCAGTTCTTTTGCTTTAAATAATAAAACCCCCTCATTTTCATATTTCCATATTTAATTTTTGCACTTGCATGTACGTTTCTGTTATCTTCCAGCCACATGTTGCTATTTGTCTCTGTAGTGGAGATAGTGGAGAATAATTTTTTTTTTTTTTTTTGACTGTGGGCTATGTGAAGCCTGACTTGCATGTAAAAGATCCACAGGGAAAAAAAAAATAAATAAAATAAAATAACAAGCTCCAGTCCTCACAGAAATAACAGAAATACAGAGAGCTGGCATGCTGCATGCTTCATGAGAACACTCCCTGCTCACCACCACACTGGGCAGCATGTGGCACATACATGCAGTACCACACACCTACAGACCAAGACGAGACAGTCAGTGCAATGTCCCAGAGGAAAACAGCAGGTGTGGGCAAGGAAGGGCAATAAGAGACGGGCTGGGAAAAAAAAAAAAAAAAAAAAAAAAAAAAAAAAAAAAAAAAAAAAGACTGTTCCAAAAATCAGCCAGATTTGGCTGACTAAACACTACAACAGTATGTAGCATGTACTCTGGTGTTGATTTTGCTCCTACGTCCCCTCTTAGTTCCGTCTCTCTGTATTTACAAGCCTTCCCTCCATGGCACCCAGATGCCAGCTAAATCACCAATCCGTGGTTCGTATTTTTCATGGAGTTACCCACCTTTGCCTGTATCCTCCTCCTCTCTTCCCTCCCTCCTTCACCATATGTTGGCCATCTTGCTCCTATTGATTCTGTCAGCACAAGCTTTACAGAGCACTGCTAGTCAGATGGATAGCTTTATTGTATCAGACTTCAACCTATGCCATGCCTTAACTACAGTACTGACAGCATTCATTAAGGTGTACGACATATATAAGTACCACAAATTTACCATTGCATATAAAAATGCACTGTCATAAAGCTATATTGTGGTTGAGAAAGACATCTTCCAAGCATTCATCTCCACTGAATATGACAGACTTTCCACTCCAAATACCTCCCCTGAAGCTTGAAGCTTTGTGTCAGTTCGGTGTGATTGGAAAGGGATGTGTGACACCAGCCCACAAAATGGTTTGCCTTAATGAACGTGATAAAGGCATAAAATTCATCCATGCATCTCTGTGCAGGGGCAGATGTTCAGTTTCATGTAGTTTTATGAGGAGGTTCAGTTGTGGCAGACCTGTACAATACCCTGTATTTCTCTGAGCAGGGCAATGTGGAAGCTAAGGACAAGTGAGGATAACAATTGGCCAACACTCAGCAAAAGCTCTGGGGTATACAGTTAGTAAACCCAAGAAGACAGGCCTATGAGATGATGAGACCCAATAGATACAACCCAGCATTGTATCTATCCAGGGAGTAAAAAAAGAAACTGACAGAAGATACACACAATGTGGACATTAGGGTTTCTAGTTGTATAACTACTTTTTCCAGATATGATAACGTTATGCAAAAGGAAACGGATTCAATTTGGTCAGTTTAGTCTCACTGAGGCCTCTATTGCTGCTGTATTATAAATGTGATGTTATCTAGTATTGGAATTGCCAAATTTTGAACTTAAATATGTTACAAGTAAAACAGGCATGAAATGACACTCTGGAAAAGTATTTGAAAATTTAGGGAGAAATTAATAGCTTTCATGCAGTTTCTTCAACTTGTAAACGTGAATCTATCTGCAATTAGTACTGAGTTGCTACTACAAACGTTAAATAAGATACAGTCACCAGATGACTATTTCTATTAAATATAATTATTGATGGGAAGGGAAAAGTGCCTTTTCCCCCCTAATTTGAGAGTGTAAAAGGTTTAACTAACCTGTTCCTATGAAAATCTTGAAATTTGGCCAAAGATACAAGGATATTTCACACTTTTTTCCTGCATCTATATTTATGTCCTATGGAAAATATAACAGCTTCTTTCTGGAGCAGTTAACATAAAAGGTCTTGGTCAAGAGAAGCTTTTCTCTTGCAAAAGATAATCTGCCATCAAAGTAATAAGTTTGACAATCAAGCAGTCCAATTGATTGAACATTTGCAAATACTTCATAACTTAAATTGTCCCAAACTGTGAAAAAGATTAATGTTCCGCTTCCCCAAACTGTTTCTTCCTCATGTTATTTTTTGTGTGTGTGTGTGCATGTGCAAACTGAATCTTTGGGAACCCCTTCCAGTTGATGCATCATTGGGGTGGTTAAACACATTACACTATGGCAGTCTGTCACATCAGTGTTTCACACAGAGATACTAGACTTGACACATCTCTGAGAAAGGAAGTTAGACAATCCAGAGAGTCATGTTTCTTTTGAAACTTGAGATTTTGAGGACAGAATTTTCATCTACTTAATTCAGACTGCAGCAAGAAAACAAGATGTTTAAGTAATTATAATACAACTTTTTAAACATTAAAAATAATTTGTGTCCTGGTTTCAGTTAGAATGCATGCAAATAATATGGTTTTGTTGGTCCTGTCTATGGGGGGAACTAACCAATGCTCTGAAAACTGCCCTTTTTATTTTGGTGAACCCCTCTGAAGTAGTTATGGCAGGACAATACAGGGCATGTGACCCTCCAGCAAACAAAATGCAATGCACTGCAATATTTTTATGCAGTAATGCCTTGAATGTTTTCACTAGCACATGAGCTCTTACCAGATCCTTTGGTGTCTGTGGAAATTTTGTCTACAGCCAACTTTCTTGAGACAGTGTTTCATTTGACTGCCATGTATTCTCATAGTCACATGAGAATCTGTAGTTGTTTCAGTATTATATCTTCTATTTCCAAGGGAAGAACTGCAAGTTCATTAAAATACAAAGCTTAACTTCTGGAGTTGTGTAGAATATGCTCTTTTCCACTGGTATCACCAGCAAGAGAGGCAAAAGCAGGAATTTTGGAACATTTAAGATGTCAGTATTCCTGTAATTACAAACAAACAAACAAGGAAACAAACAAAAAATTATCTTTACATTTTAGACTACCAGCATTCGCTTGGTAAATTCACCATATGTATGAAACAAGAGACCACTGAACATACACAAGATTGAATGAACCTTCAACTTTAACCAGAATTTACAACACATCTTTTGTGTGGATTTTATCATAAAAAAATAAATAAATAAAAGTCAAGATTATAAACAACAATGTTTCAGTGTTGTAGTGCAAGAGAGTTAGGAATAGGACCTGAAAATCCTACTTTCTTAGCTTTAACCAGCATACAAAAAAGTGGATAAGTAATTAATATGGAAACAAGGGTGAAGATGGATTGCCACAGTTTAAGGAAAAAAGAGTGCCATCTGGACAACATTGGCAGCTCAAGATTATATGCAAGTCTCAGTTATTTAGTTTTTGTATGTGACAACAGAGGATATGCCATATATCAAGTCTGACGATAAAAAGGCAATGTTCACAATGCTTAATATCAGATGATGCTTGAAAATATGACACTAGCTTTTATTATATGTATTGTTACATATTATATGTATCCTGGAGAAGAGGAGGCTGAGGAGAGACCTCATCGCAGTCTACAACTTCCTCGTAAGGGGGTGTCGAGAGGCAGGAGACCTTTTCTCCATTTACACCAGCGACAGGACCCGCGGGAATGGGGTTAAGCTGAGGCAGGGGAAGTTTAGACTTGACATCAGGAGGGGGTTCTTCACAGAGAGAGTGGTTGCACACTGGAACAGGCTCCCCAGGGAAGTGGTCACTGCACCGAGCCTGACTGAATTTAAGAAGAGATTGGACTGTGCACTTAGTCACATGGTCTGAACTTCTGGGTAAACCTGTGCGGTGTCAAGAGTTGGACTTGATGATCCTTAAGGGTCCCTTCCAACTCAGGATATTCTATGATTCTATGATTCTATTGCATGTATTGTTTCTATTATTTAAAATTTTGTCAGAATCAAATTAATGATTTTAAGCACCTTGGGGTTAATAATAGCATTTGTTGAAATTTCTAAAATTTGCTACACTTTAGTATGCTTATAGAGCTTTTGTGCATGGAACAATGGGTACTAAAATAAACTTAAATCTTCAGTGGATTCTACAGAATACCTTTTATTTGAATACTCCATGGCATCCTCAATACAAATCTCACATCAGATTCATTCTCTCCCTCCTTTCATCTCAGAATCTCCTGCAAATAACCCTTCCTCACTGGGAACAGCTTTCTTGTGATAAAACTGTTGTGATATCACTTTATCTTGTGATAAAGTCCTGCTCCTTACAATGTCCATCTCAGATATGATTTTATACTGTGTTCAAGGCATCAGAGTTCTCTAAGATTTACACAGCTGTAGCAAACAACTTCAAAATTAACCACCTGATTTACCCCCAAACGCTCAAATTCTTCATCATGGACAGAAGAATCAAACACATTTGAAAGCCCTAGGGCCATGATGATTTTTAGTATAACATGCTAAAGTATGCATTAAAAAAAAAAAAAAAAAACAAAAACAAAAACAAAAAAACTCTTAATTTTTCAGAGGGCTCTATTTCACCAATGCCTTTTCATCTGATCTCCACCTTCCACCCTGTCTTTCATGTGCATGAAGAAACCATCACTACTAGAAGGGCAATAAATGACCGCTGAGGAAAGCAAAAGAGGTGCTAAATTAACAGCAAATTCATAGCTGAGAGTTCTTCTCAGACTTTGCTATGGGCAGAATACTTACCCTAGTTAATACAATCTTTTATGAGCTCCTATGAAGTTATAGATAACTTTTTTAACCCTCCAATTTCAGTCCAATTCCCAATCCCCTAAAGGATAAGGCCTAAATCTTCATAATATATGAATCTTAATTCTGATTTGTAGTTATTACAATGAATGTCTTCTTTCCCTTTACCCCAGCCCTGGATTCATTTTGCATGAATGAAATTCCAGGGAGAAAAAGTGCTTCTTTTTCCACAGCGACTTGTGCTCATGCTAGATTACTCGACCAGTCTGTGTTGAACTGAACACCAGAAAGGCAAACACCTTGGAGCAACTCCAAGGCTGCCCAGGGTACCTACTTCTCCCTAGAAGAAAAAGACAGGCTGGAAGTGGTGTAAGCCAGCAGGCACTCTGCATATATCCTTGTCAGCTTAGACAAGTTCCATGTAAGTTAAAATACAGAAAATTCATACAGTGGGGCTTCATCCCTTAATGGGGACACAGACCTTGTCCGAGTCTCAATGGCTCAGTAAAACAGCCCGTTTCTTTGCCAAATTGCCTTATAAGGCCACAGCAGGGTCTGGATTTACCCGTTACCACAGGGCTTAATGACCTTAAGCACAATGCTGAATTACACCTCCAATTGTAATTTCCATCTGATTAAGCACTGAAAAATGCAGAAGGCTGGATACATATATACAACACTTGTAAATTGAGTAACACATTGAGCATGCAGTATTTAACCCTCACTCAACACAACTCCTGATTATTTACTGAGGCATTCAGAAACAAATGTGTCACTACAAAGCTACAGAACTGAATAAACTATTTTCTATAAATAAATAAATAAATAAATTACAAGTAAATAAAAATAAAATGAAGCACTTAGCAATAAAGTTTTAGGAAACCTATCACTGAAGTAATCTCATGAAGTAACTACTCCCACTTCCCAAACCAAGTCTCACCAAAGTCATGACTGTGCAAGTAACTACTCAGGAATAGGAAGAATGGGTTCAAAGCTATGTGTTTGGACTTAGCCTAAAGCAAAATAAATGCAAACTTGACAGAGCTCCATTTGCAAAATACTCATAAATTTTACTATTGTTGCAAAAGTGTCCACAGTTCAGTCAAATGATCATCAACTAGTCTAGAAGTTTATCTAAACTGGGCATCACAGACATTAAAAAATTCAGTGCAAATGAGAGGCAGGGTATGGCTGCAGAACAATAATACCATTTAAAAAATACTAAAATAGAACTTTGAGTTATAATAGGAACCAGAGCTAAAAGTTGAATGCCAGCCCTTTGTTTTGTTTTGTTTTGTTTTAAGCTTTCATGTTGACCTCTGCTCTACACAAACTTAAATCTGTTTTACATCAGAAGTTGCAGGGACAAGAGAGTACATGGGAAAATATGTCTGGGAGTTAAGAGCAGACTTGCTAGATTTCTGAGCTCCAGTGGTATTGGTGACATAACTAAAAAGCAACAAACAGCAGGTGAGAGGAAGGATTTAAATATAAATAAGGACACTTTGAAGCCATAGGTTTTTATTGAACACTTTCACATTTACAAATCAAAGTCACTGTTTTTTAGAAAAATGTGTAACTAAGAAAAAATCCAAAAGCCACAAAATACCAGGCAGAGAAAGAAAAGATATTAAAGAAAAGTAAAGGCAAGGAATAGTGTTGATATATATTCTCTTGCCTAAAAATAAACCAACTAAATACCCTACTTTCTTTAATTAAAAATCACTTAATTATTTAAGGATTTCTGACTAAATTAAGTATTGAAGACACATCAAGATCTGACTAGTGCTGTGATTAGTGGTTTACGTAGTTATCTGCCCATTTGGAACTGAATTCAGCCTCTAATTAGAAAAGTTATTAGAAATTCAGTCCCATAAATGCAGCATATACATACTCCATGCTTTAAAATGGTTAAATATATTAATTTACACAATACTTTCATTAGTAAAAGACCAAGCTTCCTTTTTTTCCTTTTTTTTTTTTTTTCTCTTCAGTATTCAATATATACAGAGAGACTATGACGACTTAAATGGCCATGGTTTAACAGATAGCTTTTGCTGTTTTACTAAAGGTGCTGTTCACGGTCTATCCATGGGATCAGAGTTCAAGTAGCAGTGCTTTCAGTCTGGAAAAAAGTGGTGGTTACAATAGCATAGTAATAACAGTTGCGGATAACAATCTGAAAAACTGAAACCACTGAAATATGATGGCTTGCAGTTAGAAAATATTTGTGTGTTTTACCAGAATGTAACCTATTACCCTGCTGACTGGGAAAAATAAAAATCCAGTGGGAAAACATAAAATTAGATCAGAGCTCTCCTAAATGAAAAGAAATTCAGTCTTGCTGAACTGAAATGTGATCATTCGGGTGGCATTTCTATCACCTCATTCATTTAAAACTCAATTTAATGCTATGCTAGAGACTTTACCTTAACAAACACTAATGTGTGTACGTGCAAGTTGGATCACAGGTGCAGGCCCATTAGCAGGTCTGCGCAAACTGGCCTCTGTGGGAAACCCACAACTATCCATTGCAAACAGAGGCACAGATTCACTAGCTTTAGGCAGATAACTGAGGTACTGGACACTATAAAGAGTCTTACCAGCTTGCAAAAGATGTCCAGTTTGTCATTGGCAGTGACCAAAAGTGGATGCTTGGGAATTACTGCAAGAAAGGAACTGTAGCAAAATTTAGCATTTTTTTCCCAGGAAACTCTTCCAGCCTCCAAAACTTTGCATCTCTGAGACTTCCTATAAGTCATCTTTAGTGGATTTCTCTTCCATGAACCTGTCCGGTGCCCAATGAATCTTCACAAATGGTCAGTTCCCACAACACATGGGGACATCATAGTCAGCACATGGCCATCCGCCACATGCAGAACTCAGTCTGCTGAGTCTGAAAATGCTGTCTGCATTAAATGCCCACACTTTTGGTAACAGAAAAATTGTGGGCACTTCTCTCCACATCAGTCATGATCTTCTACAGTTTTTACATACCTCCCCTGCATATCTGCCCAGCTCAGTTTCTCAGTCTGAAAAATCCGGTTTATGCAGCTATTGGAGGGCTTTTCCAACCTTGTCTATGATTCCATTCCTTGTATAAAGTATGTGAAGCCAGGACTCCATGCATCCAAGGATGCCCTTCTGCTTCTCTTCCTGGGGGAGGGTTTTCACATACCTTCCTCTTGTATGAAGGATTCAACTTATTCATGTTGAATCATTCTCTGAATATTTCTGTTTTGTTATTGTTGTTTTGTTTTTCTCCCAAAGAAGAGGAAGCCTTAATGACTGTTCTTATCTAAGACCTAACTTAGATGTCAGGCTGGTGTTTTGAAGAAGGAAGAGTTAGATCAAATTTTACTAAATTTATCAGGTGAAGATCTGAGTGTTTCTGTTTAGCAAGATAAAGAAATTCATGCTATTAATGGTTGCTATTTGACAGTGGTTTCTTTTCAGTATATGAAATGAGAAAACAGAGCCAGTTCATTATGAAGATAGTAAAAGTTATAATAAAGCCAATATAGGCTGAATCCTACAATTGCATGTGGGAAATGTAACATATGAAAAGAAAAATGAGCAGGGGATGGAGAGCAGAGAAACTTGTAATGAGACTAGTCAGACTAAAATCTAAGAAAATTGGTTAAGGATAACTGAACTTTGGAAATGGTATCCTACAACATAAGTAGAAAATGGACTGAAAAGAGTGAGACCCAGTCAATCTATAATTATATTATAAGGACCTGAATAATTTTCCTCATTTCTTCAGATGGAGAAACTGAGGCTCTAAGAGACACAGTATTGACTGTCTCACTTGGAACAGCTCAGAGATCTGGGATCAGACCTACCCCAACTTGTGTTTTGCCCACATCTCTTCCAAATATTTTTCATATTAACTCTGTGTCTAGATAAAACCTGATAACCTGTCAGTGTGAAATTATTAACTCTCTTAACAGCAAAGGCAAGATGTGGGGTTTGTGGCCCAGTATAAATTCTTGCTGTTTGTGCAGTGTTAAATAAGTCAGTTGATCAATGGTGCTCTGATGATTTATTGACATCGTGCTGCCAATGAGAACTCATGCTGAAACTTAAGATGGATCAAAATTAATTGTAAAATATTAAGGTGAATATTGTATCTTTCAAGGATTTATAGAACCAATTGTGCATTTATACTATTTTAACATAGAAAGCAAAATACATCTGAATAATAAGGACTGTATCCCTTTCACCAGTTCAAAGGGCTACCAACAGCACTAATAGCAAACAATTGTTTTATCATGTTTTCTTGCAATTCCACAAAAATGGCTCGATATCCCAGTGTCAAAATCAATTCCTAGGTTGCATACTAAGTATTTTGTTTTTCAAAAAGACCAAAAAAAGAAAAAAAAAGCCATAAATCTAATTTCACTTGGTTATGAGTACATTGTTTTCACATTTCAATGAAAAAATCTAAATGGCATGAATTCCCCAGTGAACAAAATTTGACTATTATTAAAACAGATTAAACAAAACACTGCAAAAAGTATTTTTTTCTCTCATGAAAGATTCACAATGCCACACTGCCTTGGTTGGTATGACTATTTCTAAAATTTGATTAATGATTTATGCCTCATTTAGGGTGATACTGTACCTGCCTGGTACAGATTTATTTAGCAGCAGTCTGCTATACCAAGAGACTTCTGTTCTCCTTTTCTTTTATACATGTATATCCCTACACTGGCAGCACTGCACAGGAAACTGGTCCATAAACTATTACCATGCACTGAAAACCATGTGGAATACCAAGCAGAGCTTATCTTATAAGCATTTAATTATTTGCATTGCCATTAATTTTTGTGTATTTTTACAGTTCAGATCCATACCTTTTAAATTAGAAAGAATTGCATGAGGAATATGGGGCCATATTAAGAGTTAAAATATTTGTTATTATACTTCGGACTTACTCAGGCTTTCATCTGAGACTCTTACTGTTTGATAACTGTGGTCAAGTATTATCTTCCCCATTTCACTTTTTAAGAACCTGAACCACAGACAGACCGAGCACCTTCTAACACCGTTGGCAAATAGTGCAGACCAGAAGAATCAGATATACAGAGCAAAACAGTTCACACTGAGGACAAAAAACCTACATTATAAGCATTTATTTAAAAAACAAACAAAAACCAACCAAACAAAAAACAACTTTGGACTAGGTCTTGTTTGATCCCACAGACTGGGTGCCTATTAGTAGCTGGACTCCACCAAGATGTAGTTCTGGAGCACATCTGGTTTACTTTTATCCAAAACTAATTCTGGTTTATGTAACCAACACACGAATGAGGGCACAAAAAGCAGAGACAATCATAAAACTTGCTTTAGAACTACGATCTTCATGCAAGCTAAAATGGAAAGGCAGACTCAGCCTTTACAAAGTCAGCTGGACAGAGCCCGATTCAAAGCCCTGTGGAGCCAGCAATGAGGTGAGAAGAGGACACTTTCCAGAAGCTTCAGTAGAACTATTTGGCCACCACAATTAATCATTTGGTTGACACATCTCCTTGGCGAGGTCTGCCTCCACAGCTCATATTCTGCCTGAAATCCTGAAAAACTTGCTTCATACCACGCATCATATTGTGCATTAAAACTATCCACATCACAGGCAGTCTTCTAAAGATAACAATAATCTTCAGGTGATACCAACAATTTGTATCTACTGGTTGTGTGCAGTGCTCTACTGAGCCCGGCCTCTCTACAACAGTCAGCTGAGCAACAAGAGTAACAGTCTCCAACTCTGTTATGCTCTGTCAGCTTTCTTAACTGTTTCAAGAAATTAGTTCTAAGGACTTTGCTACAACATTTACATTAAAAGACAATGTACTTTCTAGCTCCCTGATAAATGTATTAGATTATACTCACACATCATATGCTGGGAGACTACTTGCATATCTCAAATACCAGGGAGTTTTCCATGCTACCAGGATTCAGAAATCTGGGAAAGCAGCAAAATTTAGATTTCCTGAGTCAGCCTTGGTGGATTTCCATGCCTGTGTAAAGAAAATGAACACTGAGTTTTGTTTGTCATCAGAGACTTGCTCTATCTGTGATGAGAACAGGATAACTGAGTGGTCCTGTGCAGATCCATGAGCTGGATTCAATGATCCCAGTGGGTCCCTTCTAACTCAGGATATTCTCATTTTTCCACTGTTAGCTTTACTTTGGATAGACAAGGAGAAAAGAAATTTAAATCTAGAGAGAGACAGAAGTCAAAAAGTATCAGAAAAGCTCCAGACCAAAAATCTGAAAAAATCCCAGTTTCATATAAAGAGGCAGTAGACTAGTTAGTTTACTCTGTTTTGACTTGAGGGATTTTCCTTCATGTGAACAAAGCATGCCCAAAACATGCCTCTTCTGAGGATTTTCACCCAGACAATGTTTCAGTCTAATGAAGACCATAAGAAATCTGGCCCTGAGTATTGTCCTTATACCCCAAAATTTCCAAGGTCTGGAAAAAAAATTTTGAGTTTTACATTGAGGTTTGGTTTACAAAGGTTTGCATGTGTACGCAGGCTTTTTATACAGAGATCCATTCTAAAGCAGGTTAAGGTACCTACATGCTATGTAGACATAGCTGTTGAGGCTTTTTTTTTTTTTTAATAAATCAAAGAATACAAAAGTATCGTTTAAAAGTTGACAAGGATTTAGGACTTATTTTTTAGCCCCTTATGCAACCAATTGCTACCTTGTATACCTAATAAAATATAGTAGAGCAATTCAAGTTGATCTGCAGGCAATATAACTCCTACTTCAAATCTACCTAAATACAAAAAGTAATAAATTACAGTGAGCGATCCTTGCTTTTTAACTGGCATTCCAAGTCCATTTGCCTTTCTAATGTATTTTGAAAAAGATAAATGCTCAACACTTAAGCTAAGAAGCTTTATATTATATTATTCCCAATAAATAAAAATATAAATGCTTGTGGTCATGCAATTTGATCTTTGAGTACATGGCACTATAAATCTAGTCATGATGCATTTCCCTTGAAAATAAATAAGACCTTTTATTTTAAAAATCCAGGACAAAAAGATTCTTTCTTAAGGGCATAAACACCTAATAATCTGAACAGAAACTTAGCCCAAAAAGTAAAGACAGTAAAAGAAACAATTGCTCCAGGGCATGCATACTAACTGGATACATGTTCTCCATGCCAGACAGAAAAAAAGCCCTTAGGCAGGAAATTCTATGGGACAGAACTGTTCTATACTCAGCCTAGAGTGCCATGCCAGCATTATGTGGTACTTCGTATGTATTGCAGGCAAGTTTGGTATGGAACTAGTCCTCTGCATCTCTCTCCTCATATTTTCTTGTCATTCCTATTCTTCCAGTACCATTTCTTGTCCTCTGCTTTTGATTCCTATGATACTTACATCAAATCTCCATTTCTTACCTGTCAATATCTATACTATCTTGCAAACAATTCCCTTTAAGTTCACTCTTACTCTTTTCACAGTGGCAGTCCTCTCACTCAGGATGCCCCTTTTTCTCTAAGGTTGTAATTTTCTGTAAAAAAAAACAAACAAGGGAAAGTATGCTTTCCCTAGATATATCATAACAAAAAGTCTCTGGTCTCTCTCTCTTTTTTTTTTTTTTTTTTTTTTGAATATACATATGGGTACTACAATATTTGTATATATACTATTTAGTCACCTCATCACAGGAGATTCCTTAGGGTGTAACCAGCACCTACCTATTTTCTCCTCCATAACATTAAATTGTCATAATCTCTTTGAGTTTAACTATCACCACTTGCCAGTCACTGCTTTTAGTTTTTAATACGTTAAACATATTAACACTGTTTGCACTCTAAGCACAAAGAGCACACAGATATGTTTACTTTCCATACATAATCATGCTTAAGATAAAAATAAATTGAATAAAATAATAAAAAAAAGGAATAAAGGATTTTCATGAACAGGACCAAATAAAAAGTATATAAAGGAATTGTATTGTTTTGATTACTCACACTATTCTGATCTTATGTCCTCTGCTTCACAACAGAAATCATTCTTTTGCTCTAACTGAAGTTGCCAAAATATAGCCTTCATCAACATTAATTCAACACACCATCATCTAAAACAGGGTGATAAAGCTGGTATTTATATCTATCAGGGGACTGACTACAGATGATGACAACAACCATCTCAAAAGGCATAATTCTCTGCCACAGTGTATATCAGTATTTTTCTTAATTATTTCTGACATTTTATCTATTACTCCAAGAACTTTCTCAGAGGGTGGAAATAAAGGGAAAAAATTGCTTTTGTGCCATAGATGAAGAAATACGTCTTCTGCACGTAATTCCCAGAAGAAATCTTGAAAATCTTACGGGGTCAGGAAAGAGGTAAGAAAATAGTATTTGTCACCCTTGCTGCATTGGTCATCTAAACTTTACAGTAGCACCTGTGACTTATCTGCCACTCCTCAGGCAGGAAGAAAAGTGAGAATAAAGAAGTATATGGGGGAAAAAAGAGTATCATGAAAGTAAGTATCACCTGGAAGCCTGCGTAAAGCTTTCGGTCTTTGAGCTACTTACCTTTTGTTTCTCCATTGCTGATGTCCATTCACTTCAGTTATTAGAAACCATACACAGCAAAAAAATGAAAAACCATATAGCTGAGGTTATGGCAAGGACAAGAATGCACCAAGCTTAGGACCAGCAAATAATGTTTGAGAGTCGCCGGGAGAAAAATTTTCCAGCTGACAAATTGTACAGATGCAATAAGAATGACCAATGTTCACTATCTACAGAGAATAGTAAGATTAGATGAGTCAAAGATAGGCAGCTCACAAAACCGAAGGATGCTTTGAAAAAAGCACACGAAAAAGTTTGTTATAAGTCACTGCTTTTGACATGAGTTTGATTCAGAAAGGACAACAAGTTGCAAGGAGCAACTTGTCATAGAGCCCTAGAAAAATTTCAAACACAGTTGGCTGCTTAGCTTAATGACACCGTTATTAAACTCAAGATAAGTAAAACAGGCTATAGCAGACACGAGCTTCCTGTTCTTATCTTAAAAACCTGAAAACACTGCAGCTGTCCCACAGCACTATACAAAAAAACACGCATCATCTGGTTTCCAGTCTTGGAGCTAGTTTCTGCACAGACTTCTCTCACCCTCTGAATCCTCCATCATCCTCTGTTGATGACCCGCCGGCATGAAGATAGTGATCAAAACATGAATTTCACATAGTTGTTGGACCTATTTTATATTGCATTACATGGATACAAATCAAGTTAATAGCACTCCATGGAAGCTCATATGTATAGAATTATATTGCTAGGTATAACAGTGTTTCTAACAAGTGTTAGGACATACCAGGAGCATGTGAATTATTCAGTATTTAACAGAATGAAACACATAAGTTTCAGATATTCACTGGTCAGGTGGCTTGTCCTTATTCTACACTCAATGAGAAATGAAAAGTGCCTTTTCCCCCTTCTTCTAGTGTTGGCTACATGGTGGCCTGCCTTTAAGAAGGCATTTACTGCCTACCTCTGAGAGATAGAAGAGGAAGGGTGAGTGATTTTCATGCTCTGGCACTCATTGTAGGCTGTTTAATTTGTCAGGACTACTAGGCCATGGTTTTGTACTCTGACAGGTTTTTGTTATTCCTGCTAATCCCATTTCTGTTGTGTAATGTGCGTGGCAGCATCTGGTGACAACAGAATAGAACACCTAATTGTGAATGAATACAGAGCGCCCTGTTCTGCCACATTGCCTGTTGCACTATTTTTGCATTTTTATGGCTGAGGGTGGGCTTCCAGGAGCTGCAAAGCAGACAGCCCATTGTTGTAATCAAATTTGCCATTTGCATGTGTGTGTTCCAGCAGCCTTCGTGTTTCTACGGCCCCCAGGATTCCCTGACTTTGGCTTTCTGGCTCCCTCTTCTGAGTAGCGAGGATGATCATACCTATTTATTAAACAACCTCTCTTTACTTCACAATTAAGTCACAATATGAAGCTGACAGTTTTAAGTGCATTTGGGTGTGACTGAAGTGAGCAGAAGGTGGGATGCGTGGATGCAAGACCTGCACGACTGCTGCCCCCACCCATAGCACAGCAGCTTCACTCACTTGCTAGACACAAGGACCAACCGCTGCCTGCAGATCCCCTTGCCATCTGCTCCACATGTTCTGATATTCCAGTGGCTCACTGACTCCAAGTCCTATTCCACTTTGCCAGTCAGGGCATACAGAGCAAGCATAGAAACTCTGGGCTATGCTCATGTAGACAAGCTTAGCTCCTTGTAGAGTACAGTGACTATAAATGCTCCCAGAAGGCAAGATTAGATTATGTTTTTAAACAGTAGTCTTCCAGATTTCAGAGGAAGGAGTGGAGTTCAATAAATTCAAAACTTCCTGAGAGTAGATTACTGATTTAATCAAATTCTTACACAAATACTCTCCTGATAGGGTACTGATCAGATAGCTTTATCTCTGTGTGACCTAAACTGGTTCCAACTAATATTAGTATAACAGCAAAATGTCCTCACTTAGAAAGAAAAATGTCTGAAAATATCATTTTGGAAGAAGCATGGATCATGGTTGACAATTGGTGCGATATAGTTACTCAAAACATGTACAGATCAGAGTGGTATTGAGTTCGACAAAATGGACCAAGGCTATTATTTATAGAACAAAAAAATATTTTGAAAAGAATGATAAACCTTTCTGTCAAGAGGTCTCTATGTGTTTTCAGCTTAGATTATTATCAGTCACAATCACAAGTATTGCATAACAAGACCGAGAAAATTTACTGCCAAAATCAATCTTCCAGAAACTGTCAAAAGATTAATTAAGACAAAGCTCTAAAAACCCAGAGATCTGAAATACACGACTGACAACATCAAAGACAAAAACTTCAAGGAGGGTGTCCAGAATTACCAATTAAAATGCAGACTTGAATTTTCTCCTGTAACACAATTTTTCTCTCAGTAAACTACACAGCTCTTCTGTATTTACCACAATAATACAAAATCAAAA